ACTTTCTTAAGTTTAGGCAATCACAAAACAACAAATCAAGCCCTGATATGTAGCTTTGGTGACTTCTGAGGCATAAATCTTCATACTGAAATTTTAATAATCAGTGTAAGCTATTAAGAGTTCCCAGGGCCAGCATAAGGATCAGATAAGATAATGTCCAAAAGTCACTTTGTAAACGTTAAAATGCCACATTTTTTTTCACCTATTATATTTTCATTGCTTTCCTCAATCAACCTTATGGGGCAGTTAGGTATTGAAACAAGTAGACTACCTGGAGTCAGGAAGACCTGAGTTAAATTTGATCTCAGATATTGTGTGGCTCTGGGCAAGTCACTTTAACCTTGCTTACCTCAGTTTCCTCATCTATAAAATGAGGAGAATAGCACCTACCTCTCAAGCACTTAGAGGAAGCTTTATGTAAATATTACTTTATGATTAATGACCAGTGATACCAATAACTACTATAGAAATCAAGAGCTAAAATGGGATTCAGTATTCTATGTTCACTGAAATCACAAGCATCTTAAAGGGAGAGAAGCGTGTTTGGCCAATGTGGGCTATAAGAGGGAAGAGAAAGAAGTGTGACATACTGTGGATTTGCATTCTACAAAGTGTTTTCCTGCCCAAATCTATTTGCCTCTACTCTACTGAATTTTTAAAATTTATTAAAAATTTAACTGAATTCATTTTACATTTCCTTAATCATCAAGGAAGAAGATATGAATATATAGGCATACACACATACAAGTGTATAATTTATGGATAATAGTAAACTACACAAAATAAATCAAACTTCAAAAGTCCACAACACTGTAACATAACTAAAGTTAGCTGTCTGACCGCCGTTTCATATCTACTACATTGCTACTAAAAGAAATGGGCAATGAGAGAAATCCTAAAAACCATGTTCTAACAAGGTCAAGGAAATGAAACAGGCATGCAGCTCCACCAACTCCAAAGTGCTACATGCTTAGCTTTTAGCAATAAAGTAAAAATAGACCAGGCAATGGCATTGGGAAAAGGTTTATGACAGTGGGGGAGAAAAGGTGGGTTTTTTTCAGGATTTTTTGTTTAGGTTTTTTAATCTAGTGATACCTCAACTGCGTGACAACCTCAAATGTCGGCAGAGAGGTTCTTAAGAAGCATCCCATCGGGGCAGCTAGGTGGCGTAGTGGATAGAGCATCGGCCCTGGATTCAGAAGGACCTGAGTTCAAATGCAGCCTCAGAAACATAACACTTACTTGCTGTGTGACCCTGGGCAAGTCACTTAACCCCATTGCCTAACACCCCCCCAAAAAAAGAAGCATCCCATCAAGAAACCACAAAAAGGCTCCTAACAGCCAAAATTAGGTTACAAGTCCATGCCCTTAAAATCCATCCAATTTCCTCAAGTGAGAATACCTTGATTCCATTTAGAATCTATTTACTCTTAATTTAGACATTCCAAAAAACTTAGTTATCTAGTTTCCTAGCCTGACAGTTTGTAAGCAGGAAATTGGGAAGGGAGGGGCAAAGCTAGAAGCAGGCACATTGACAGCAACAGTAAGGACCAATGGTGAAAAAGCAGAAACTAAAGCACAACATTAAAAGACACAGGAATTTGTAAAACCCTTAGGAACCTGGGACCATTTACCATGAGGATAAAAAGTCCTAAGCCCTCAAAGCACCCTGATGCATCACTATAGTCATGCATAGTACAAGTCAGCTATAAATAATGACCTCTAAGTTGATAAGAAAGATTAAAATACCTTCAATAATTTCATTAAGTAGGAAGAATATAGAATATATATTAGAATATAGAATATATTTTAGAAATATATGCGTAAAAATCAGCCAATTTCAAGTTTGCACACTTAAAAAAGTAGATGAGTTATCTGAAAGTTACTTTTCCCATTCAATTCAGTATGTGTGAAGACCTGTGTGAAGACTTGCAAGCACTGGGAGAGAAAGAATATTTAAGAAAGACATAGTCTATGCTTTTAAGGACCTAGTTAGGAGATATGAAATAATACACAAATAATTATATTATGAAATAAAACCACAAATGCATAAGGGAACTGAATTTATTTTTGCAGATAGGTGATAAAGAATCACAAGCCAAAATTGAGCTATAAACCAAAAAGCTAATCATAAATTGCATCTTTCCACAAAAACAAAACAAAACAAAACTTTCAGTATAGACTGGGAAAGAAGGTTGACTGACAGATAGATGGGACTTCAAGAGTTCATCAAGAAACTCAAGAGTTCATCAAAGTCATATAAGGAACTAAATTTAGAAGGACTGGCATTTGAACCCATGTCTTCTAGCTACAAATCCAATGTACCATTACTGCTTCCTGTCAACTGGGGTAGGCCTGGAGCCAGTTTAAGCAGGGACCAGAACCCTTGAGAGTTCTTGGAACCCATCCAAGCTTGTGGGGATCCTTGAAGTTGAGAATGAACAAAGGCCAAAAAAGGATCACCATGGCCACCCTGAATCAATATGGCCCTCTAGGGTCTGGCAGTTTGAAGAACATGCAAGGAATAGTACAATGACTGGGTGAGGCGAGGATAGAGAGCCGGAAGCTGATGTCATTTACAAAGGAACATCTGTAGGGAATTTTGTGGTTATAGAATTGAGCCAGTTTCACAAGAAAGCAATAACTAGGAATAAATCAACAATTCAGTCAGAAACACTGGCACAAGGAAAGGGAACTTACAGTGAGTGGCATTAAAAGGCAGCCTATACAATTTAGGAGTTCTCTTTAGAAGTCTACCTGTTATCCCTTCAAAACTTAAAATTATGAAATAGAAAATCTACCTGAGCATGTGCAGGACAACAGCTCCATACTGCCCCCTAGTGCTCTTAGGTCCTCTTCTCCTTGGCCCATAAAGGCCATTAGGCCAGCTCCACTGTTCCAGCCCCCCTCCTGGCTTCTAGTACCCAGGAGAGCTAAACTTAGCAGAAACACTTGCCACCTGATTAGGATACAAGGGGGCACGAATCTTCAGAAAAGGGTTGGGTCTCTCCTAGAAGGGACAGAATGTGGCTTGACTTAATGAACTCCTCTCTTACCTGAATCTGATAGCCTCATGGGTATGTTAACAACCAGAAAGTAGTAGATGAAGAAAATGGCCAGGCAAGGACAAGCGATCTTCCCCTACCCCCACCCCACAAGTGATGAGTGAATCACAGTGAAAGGGCCACAAAGAAAGAGAAATGATGTCAGGTGACAGGTGGAGGGCAGAGAGTACGGGGTGGGGGGAGGAATACAGCCATAGAATGAAAAGAGGTCAATAGTGTTTTTAATTTGGAGCACTTAAATTGGGGGAAAAGTTATCTGCATGAGATGCAATAGTTTTAAAGTGACAAGTATTTTACTGAACTAAGGACAAAGGTTAGTCTGATATCACTCTCCTCAGGGTATAGTTGGGTCTGTAATTCTTTTGATCACTTTTCCCAGAGCCCTTTGCAATTCCTCAGATTAGAGACTGACCCTGGGTTGCTTTTTGATCAACAGCTCAGGTATGTCTACATGTCATTCCAATATAAAGTAGTAAGAAACAGCAATATTAATCTCTGTGGTGAAATTTGGCCATCTTTTATATCATATATTCTATTAATTCAAACATCTGCAAAAAGGCCCATGAGTTCTCTATTTTTATCCAAATTTGTGAACTGTGTTGAATCAGGCTTCAGTGAAGACAAACACTTCTAATGTCTCAAGTTCAAAGCTGAAGTTGTTACTCACCACAGTACTTAAACTGTCTTTTCAGTTATTGTGGTTTAAAGTTATTACACACTCCATCCCTGATTTTCTAGGTATGCATTTGTGTTGGTTTGGCCTGGACAATGTGAAGTAATGGCATTCCTGCATGCTGAAGAAATGTCATACAAACTAATATGAAACATGAATATTTCTATTTTTTTCTTGCAACATTACCAGTCACCACTTGAAAACAGGGTGCTTAATGGTCTAATTTTAGACAGTCTGCATTAACATTGTGGTTTCATGGGCAGTATAATATTTCTATTTACAGTGTTCTTAAAAATGACTTCATAATGGTAGATCAAGAGAAAAGGTGCTTCGAAATCGGAATAATGTAAATCATATGGGGTTCAGAGGCTAAGCAAATTACACACCCTGAAGCTGTCCTGGCTCTATGAAAGGGGCCTTTCTCCAGCTCTGCTCAGTCCCAGCCCAAGGGAACTTGCCTTTGAGAGTTTTCTAAACATTTCAGGTACACTTGAAAGCTGAAAGTAATTCTCATTTCCTATGCAGGATTAGCTAGTTTCCAGCACACACACAAAATAGTCTTCATTCAACAACACATACAAAAACACAACACTAGAGAGTTAAGGACTTAGGAGTACAAAGGTGCATTTAAAAAAAAAAGCAGTGGGGGAGGCACATTTTCAATTTTCTTAAAATCTTTCCAAGAAGTCTCTGTATTTTTTTTCTCTTATTTTCTAGTTGTTTAATTGGTGCTCTTTTTTTAAACCTATAGTGCATTACTTAATGAGAGTGATAAGTTTCCTAAAGTGACAGTAACACACTTATGCTGTATATGTATATTCTCTCTCTCTCACACACCCATAAAGTCAAACCTGCCAAGTCTCATTCATTGTGGCCTTTCAAAGCAGATTCTCAAACTCTCTCCTCGGCCACTGAAAGGTTTTGCAATAAGCTTAAATGAAAAGTTCACAATCCTGCTAACATTTTTCTCATTTTAGCTAGGCTGCAGTTGCACTCACATCACATTGTCAGAGCTTGGTCAGCTTCTGAAGTTGCAAACTACACGTAACCTCGGACATCCCGTGCCAATGCACCGCGCGCACATTTGCATGGGTAGACTATCACTTATGGGCATGTCTGTATTGCACGTACCCACGCACACCAAAAGGCATAATTTTAATGAGCAGAGACCAAGAAACAAGGAGGGAAAAAAAAGGGGGGAAAAAAGGAAGGAAGGAGGGAAGAAAGAAAGAGGCGGGGGTGGGGGTGGGGGGAAGTCTTACCGTTTTGCTCCTTGTTGGTGGAGAACTGGAATTTACTACTCAGATTGGACTCAGCCTGAGTTCCATATCTCTGGCTGGCCAGGGCAGATGTCAGCAGCAGTACCCCGATGAGGTGCATTTGGCTGATTAAGGGGAGAGATCACACACACCAGGCTCTCTTAGATCGTCAAGTCCCGATTCTCTTTCACCACCACCAGGAGAAGGCTGCCTTGGGGTGAAAGCACTGAGCCTGCTCTGGCGGCAGAGAATCGCAGGGTAGTTTCCACATAATCCCATCCAAAACTTTTTCCTAGAGCCCTCTTCTGTGTCTCCAGTTTTGTGTGTGTGTGTGTGTGTGTGTGTGTGTGTGTGTGTTTTGAAGGATCAAAGCAAAATCTGGACCTGAACCAGTTTCCCAAGGTTTAAACAATTCTGAGCTGTGCCGAACTGGTGGGGGGCGGGAGGGGGGGGGAGCGCTGGTAAACTGCACACGCGACCGGGAGAAAGTAAAGGGGGGGAGGTGGGGGAGCGGAGAGGGAAGAGGAGACAAGTCACTTGCAGCAACTCCCAAGCACCTGTCAGCTTTGGGAACCAGAAAGGGACGAAAATCCAAGAAAAAGGCGAGCTGGGGAGCGAAGTGGAGCTTCAAAGGAGCCGATCCTGATCAATAACAAAGCTGCCAATGGATGCAGCTTTTCTTCCCCTTCCCCCTCCCCCCTTGCCCCTGCCCCACCCCCCACCCACCCCCAAAGGGGGGGAGAGGGAAAAAAAGTGTGTGTGTGTGTGTGTGTGGTGGGGGGGAAAGGCTTGGTAGCAGTGTTTGCCGGAGCTGGACAGCGGGCGGGCGAGACGAGCCGGAGATGGTCCCAGATGGCAGGGTGAGGAGTGGAGCAACAGCTCCCACCCCCCCACCCCCCCGAAGACGACTCCTGTTCTTCTGCTCAGTCGGCGGTGGGGAGGGCCAGGCAGGCGGCTGCTCAGTGAGCAGCAGTCGCTCTCCTCTCACTCCAGCACCTGGTTTGAGTTTTACGCGACGAAAGTTCACCTTGTTTGGGTGATGTGCTTTTTTCCCTCTCCCTCCTAGTCTCTTTACTCAAGTCCAAGGGGGGAAAAAATTTAAAAAAAAATCAGCAGTTCAGGGTCCCCATGGTGCTTCTCTCCCCATCCATCCCCCCTCCCGCCCCCCACCCCTGCTCGCCGATGCACTCGTCTTGCCCCCGGTGCAGAGCTTCGGTACTTCTCCAGTTGTCTTCAGATTGGGGGAGGGAGAGCAGGAAAAGTTTGCATGGAGAAAACTCGCTTTCTCCTCCCCCTTTTTTCTCCCCAGTCCCGTGGCTGTAGCAGCACCGGCCGAGGCTTAGGAGGAGGAGGGGATGATGTGCCTGGCCCAGAGCTGCAGACTGAGGTCAGAAACTGGAGCCCCAGGCGGAGGCGAGCCCGCAGAAAAGAGGCTGGGGTTGAGCTGCTGCAAGGTCCTGTCTAGAGGCGGCTGCTGCTGCTGCTGCGGAGGCAGATGGGAGAGGGAGGCGAGCGGGGGAGAGAGGAAGTAGTGCAGAGGGGGGACGGTGGCGGCAGCAGCTCTCTCTCTCTCTCTCTCTCTCTCTCTCTCTCTCTCTCTCTCTCTCCCTCTCTCTCTCTCCCTCCCTCTCTCTCCCTCCCCCTCCTCCCCCTCCCCCTCCTCCCCCTCTCCCCCTCCTTCTCCTCCTCTTTCTTCTTCTTCTTCTTCTTCTTCTTCTTCTTCTTCTTCTTCTTCTTCTTCTTCTTCTTCTTCTTCTTCTCTTCTTCTTCTTCTTCTTCTTCTTCTTCTTCTTCTTCTCCTTCTTCTCCTCCTCCTTCTTCTTCTCTCTTTCCTCCCCTCCCCCTGCCAACTGGTGTTACAACAGGTGCTGTAACAGAAAGGGGTACTGCTGGGCCAGGAGGCAAAAGAAAAAAATAGCCACTCTTGTCTAGAGCCTCTCCCTCACCCCACCCCGAGTTTATGAAGGGCAAAGGGGATCCTGTTACCAAAAAGAATAAAAACGGGAAATGCTTTTTGCCCAACTTCCCCCCCCCCCCGTGACCACAGCAGTTTATTGACTTCTATGGTTATCTTTTTAGTTTATTGTTTATTTTTCCAGTCTCCTAGTGGTAATGGCTATTGGAATCTGACTTGGCTATTGAAATGGGACAGACATCCCCAAACCTGCCCTCCTAACCTTTGCCTAGAATATTTGAATGAAAGAGTGGTTAAAATTGCTCCCCCACCTTCTAAATATCTGGAAGCACATTGGATTTAAGAGACAAGAGTATATACCTTGGATTTTAATAGCACCCCTCCTAATACATTCCCACCCCAGTGTGTGACCTTGGCCAAGTCACTTTTCTACCTGTGCTTTCACAGTTGGTAAAATGAGAGAAGTGTACTAGATCATTTCTGAAATCTCTTTCAACTTATATGATCTCCCATATTTTTGTAACAGCAAAGAGAAGGGAGAACTGCTGGGAAGGGCTTGGGGAAAGGAGTGGAATAGCCTGCTCAGGCCAATGACCTTGAGTGCAACTCGGAACTGTCTGTCATAATCAGAGTTGTACAGTCCATTATGCACTGGAATGATTCTACCCAGTCTTCTGCTGACGCAGAAATGGTATATAAAGGACTTCTGATGGAAAATGATGATGCTGCCCCATATAGCTCTCCAAGGTGATAACTAATGGTCTGTAAACAATTTGTGGGAGTCCTTTGCCTAATTGCTAGGAGATTCACTCATAGAGATTGGGAGACAAGCAGATATTGAGTACTCAGGATGGCTCCCCAGGATGCTTGTGTCAGGATAAAGGTTGCAAACAAAGCTGCTAAAAGCTAGTAGGGAGGGCATATATAATAGGGAATAGATAAAACATTATGTTGTTTGAAATCTTCAATTTTTCCCCTTTCACTTTTACTCCTCCCCGACTTAACCTACCATTTCTTTTACATTCTACTTCTGAAGTATCTCTCAGATCCATTTGCTTTTCTCTGGTTTCATGGCCACCACCCTAGTTTAGACCCAAATCATCTTTCATCAGAGCTGTATGTAACCTGTCCTCACAACTGCTGTTCCCCTTCTCCAGAAACTCCAGTGGCTTCAGATCAGTCTTCTCCAAGATAAAAACACAAGGTCCTCAGGTTGGCCTTACCTTTCCAAACTTAATGTGTTGGATTCCTTGGCCTCAAGTACTCTCTATTCTAACCTGTCTAGCCTGCATAGAATTTCCTCTTTCTTGTGTCCCATGACTGACATACATACCACACTCAACCCCTGCATCTCAGATTTTCTCAGCACTTCTAGCTTACTCCAAAACAGCTTAGGTACAGTCTTCTTTTTGAAGTCCTGCATGATCCTGTCTCCTTGTTTCAGTTGTTAGTGCTTATTCTGCCCTCAAATCATCCTGTGTGTGCTGATCTGTTTACACATGTTCTCCTCCCTCCCAGCTCTAGAATGTAAGCTACTTGAGGGCAGGACTTTTAAAATTTTGCCTTTGTACCTGCAGCCCCCTATCACGTACCTTGCAAATGCCATAAATTTAATGAATGCCTGTTAGGTTGGATTGGAATGATACTGTAATAAGCACTTAACAGCGAATCTTAGAGTTGGAAAAAAACACTCTTGGAGTCATCCAGTACAAAACTCATTTTACAGGAAAGGTAATTCCATAGAAGTAAGATGACTTGCCCAGGGTCACTCGGTGGTAACTAATGGACTAGCAGCTGGCTCTTCAAACTACACAACAGTACTTTTTCTACCACAATGCCAGCACTCTTTACTTAAATTCTTCAAAATTGTGTTCCCCTATGATGTATACACTTCAAGGTAAGAGAGAACCTCCATGTTTCTTATAATATAAATGGTACCCAGTGCAGTACATGTTATTCCAGATGAAGGTCTTATTTTTGTCCCAGAAAGTGCCATCTTAATTATTAGGTACTTCCTGAGAGAGAAAGCAGTGCTAGTACTAAGAGCACAGGGCTTGAGGTCAGAAAAAAAGGGTTTATTCTTTTGAATCTGTCACTTAGAAATTCATATAACATAGATAGTAATGAAAAGAGCTTAAGTCAATCTATCAAACATCTAACATTTATCGAAGACCTATCATACACCAGGTATTGTGCTCAACTATTCCTGATGTCACAGTAGTTAGAGGGCCAGGCCTGGAGTTAGGAAGACCTGAGTTCAAATGTGACCTCAGACACTTACTAGCTGTGTGACCCTGAACAAGTCACTTAACCATGTTCCCTCACTTCCTCATCTGAAAAATGAGCTGGAGAAGGAAATGGCAAACCACTCCAAGTGTCTTTGCGAAGAAAACCCCAAATGGAGTCAAAGAGTCAAACACGACTGAAATAACTGAACAACAACATTTTCAATTGAAGAAACTAAAACCTAGAATGAAGTGATTTGTCTGAGGTCATGTAGCATGCTAGTAGCTTAGCTGGAATTTGAACCCAGGTTTCCTGACTCATAGTTCAATGTCCGTTTCATTTGGCTGGGAAGCTGTGTCACAATAAGCAAGTCCCTTAACTTTTCTATATCTCACTTCCTGTATCTATAAAATGGGAATTCAAGCTAACTAGACTTTATTTTAGAATTTTAGAATATCATTTATTTAGAATTATCATTTATTAAAACACCTACTATCAGCAGGACAGTAGGCATGGTCAATATACAGGCAAAACAGCACAAACCAGTCTCCTGTCCAGGATATTCCTTTTTAACTAGGTTGATACCACCTAATTTATTTATCAGATTGAAGAAAGCAATTTGTAAGCCTTAAAATTCTAGAATATGAACGTGTGTTATTTGCTGCAGTAATCCTTCAGCACATATAAATTCAAGAATTCCTTCCTTTTATCACATATCTATGTGTCTATGTATATATATATATATATATATATATATATATATGTATATATACATATGTATATGTGTATATGTGTACACACACACACACACACACACACATATATATATATATATATATATATATATATATATATATATATACACATATGTATGTCCTTGCAAATAAAATTCTTATGTTTTGTTAAAACAAGTCATATTTTATAGGCACAAAGGAAATTTCTATTTAAAGGACACTGTGTTGAATTCATTTTTGAAATCAGAGTCCCTTTGTTAATATAAATAGTAATTTCCTAATTTTCCAGTATTGTCCGTCAAAAGCATTTGTTAAGCATTTTCTTTGTAACAGTTATTGTGATAAGTGATGGAGGTACACTGAAAGCCAAAAAAAGGCAGTCCCTCCCTGCTTTCAAGGTTTAGTTTAATGGATAAGACAACATGTAAATAATTAGATGCCTATATGATTTATACATATCAGATGAAAGTAATCTGGAAGAGGAAGGTATTTGCTGCTGGGAGGGAGGAGGGGGAAGGGGGCTGAAAAGTCCTCTTTATGAGAGAGGACTTTCATCTGAGTTTCAAAGGAAGCCAGGGAAACTTGAAGGAGGAGGACGGAGTCAGGGACTATTCAGGACATGGAAGACAGCCGTTGCAAAGGCAAGGAAATGGAAGATGAGTGTTTCGTTTGAGGAACATTAAGTAGGCCGATATAGTTGGATTGTGGAATTAATGAAGGGGAGCAAAGTATAAGTAAAGTGAAAAGGTAGGAAGGGCTCAGGTTATGAAGAGCTTTAAATGAAAAACACATAACTTTATGTTTGGTCTTGCTAGTAATAAAGAGCCATT